CTCTCAGATTCCACAAAAACAGTGCAGCAATCTGCTCCATGAAAGAGTAGTGTAACTCTGTGACATGAATTCGCACATCACAAAGCAGTTTCTCAGAAAGTTTCTCTCTAGTTTTTATCTGATGCTATTTCCTTTTTCACCATGGGCTTCAATGCAATCCAAAGTATCCCTTCTCAGATTCCACAGAAGCAGTGCTAAACTCCTCCAGCTAAAAGAATGGTGTAGCTCTGTGAGATGAATTCACACATCACAAAGCCGTATCTCAGAAAGCTCTTTTCCTGGTTTGTCTGAGGATATTTCCTTTGTCACCATGGCCCTCAAATAATCAAAAATATCCTTTCTCAGATTCCACAAAAGTGCTAGCACACGGCTCCATGAAAGGTGATGTAACTCTGTGTGATGAAATCCTACATCACAAGCAGTTCTCAAGCTTGTTTCCAGTTTTTATTGAAGCGAGAGAGGTCTACCTTCTTGCTGTTTGTCAAGGCGCAAGTGGTTAAAGCGATGAGAAATGTCCCTTCTCCAGATTCCACAAAAACTGTACTGTGAACAGCTCCATGAAAGATTGATGTAGCTTTGCGAGATAAGATTCACACAGCACGAAGCAGTTTCTCAAGCTTCTTTCAAATTTTTATCCAGGACATTTCCCTTTTCACCATTGGCCTCAATGCCCCTGCCAAATATCCCATTGCAGATTCCATAAAAATAGTGTTAGCAGACTGCTCAATGAAAGAGAGTGTAACTATAAGGATGAATTACACATCACCTGGCAGTTTCTCAAAGTCTTCTCACCAAGTTTTATCCGATAGTATTTCCTTTTCACCATAGTACTCAATGAGCTCTGCAATATCCCATTGCAGATTAAACAAAAACAGTGTTAATGACTGTTCCATGAAATATGGTTTCACTTTGTGAGATGGATTCACACATCACAAAGCAGTTTCTCAGAAAGCTTCTTTCTGTTTTTTATCTGAGGATATTTCCTACTTAAACCACAGGCCTCAATGTGCTCCCATTATATTTCATCACAGATTCCTGAAACACATGTTAGTCAACTCCTCAATGAAAACCACTATGCTAACTCTGAGATAAATTCACACTTCACAAGCTGTCTCTCAGACAGTTTCTTTCTAGTTTCCATCTGAGGTTTATTTCCTTGTCACTATAGGCTTCCAAAACAGTCAGCTTATCCTTCACATATTCCACAAGAACAGTGCTAACAAACTGCTCCATGAAAGAGCCATGTAACTCTCTGAGATGAATTCATACAGCACAAGACACTTTCTCAGAAAACGTTTTCTAGTTTGTATCCGAAGATGTTTCCTTTTTCAACATAGTCCTCAATGCCTTCCAAATATCCCTGCAGATTCCACGAAAACAGTGTTGCTAGGCTGCTCAATAGAAGTGGTGTAACCCTGTATGAGATTAATTTATGCCTCACAAACAGTTTCTCTGAGAAGACTTCTCTCCCAGTTTTATCTGAGTATATTTCGTTTTACACCATGACACTCAAAACGCTTGCAATATTCCATTGCAGATTCCACAACAACAGTGTTGAAACTGCTCCATGAAAAGAAAGTGTAACTCCACAGGGATGAATTCATACAGTATAAAGCAGTTTCTCAGAAAACTTCTTTCTACTAGCTTTATCTTTATTACACATTGCCTTTGTCTGGAAGCTGAAAGTGATCCAAAAATGCCTCTTCTCAGATTCACAAAAAACAGTAGCAATACGTAGCTATTTTTTGTATGTGGATCTCTAGTTCCAGCATCTTTTGTTGAAAGGACTATTTTTGCTCCACTCTATTGCCTTTACTCCTCATCAAATATCAGTTGATGATATATGTGAGTCTATTTCTGGGCTCTATATTTTGTACCCTTGATCTGTTTGTATCTTCTTTCACCAATACCACACTGTCTTGTTTACAGTCACTTTATAATAAGTCTTGAAGTGGGGTAGTGTCAGTCCTCTGACTTTGCTCTTCTTCGGTATTGAGTTGGCTCTATACTGGGTTTTTTATCTTTCCATATAAACTTCAGAATCACTTTATTGATAACTTGCTAGGCTCATTTTTGGGATTGTGTTGAATCTATAGATCAAGTTGGGAAGAACTGACATCTAGACAATATGGAATCTTCCTGTACATGGAATAACGCTTCATGTATTTATAAAGTTCTTTGATTACTTTCATTGAAGTTGTGTAGTTTTTCTCAGATAGATTTTTTACATAGTTAAATTTGTATCTAAGTGCCTCATTCCAGGAATGCAGGAATGTGTTGATATTAGAAATTCTATTAATATGATTTATCACATTAAGAAGTTTAAAAAATCCATAAGGTAGTAATTGCCTTTGATACTATAAAGGTATTTGATAAAAGTCAACATCTATTTTTAGTGTTTAAGACCATAATCAAGTGATGGATATTTCATTGAAATTTAAGATACCCACACCTCAAAATAAAAACTAGTATCACATAAAATGATGAAACAATAGAACAATTTTCTATTTCCATTAATGACAGAGGCATGATAAATATGCCTACTGCCTCTCTTATTGCTTAACATTATTGCAGAAATGTCAGCTGGTACAATTGACTAACAGATAATTCAAAGGAAAATGTAAAAACATCATTGTTTGTAGTGATATCATTTTGAATACTTGAGAAATCCAAATAAATTACTACTGGAAACAATGAAATCATATTCATTGATGCATATTTAATATAACTTTTCTATATACAAACAATCAGAAAATATGAAGATTCTTGATACAACAGCAGCAAAAATAATATGCTTTAGAAAAAACTCAACAAAATATGCAGGATCTATATAAAGAAAACTGTACTTGCTAATGCATGTCAAAGAAGATTTAAAGAAATGGAAGGAACATGTATTGCTTTGGGATCTAAAGATTCAATGTTGAACAGATATAACTATAAATAACGTACGTTATTGAATAAAGTAATTGTAATAAAAATTTTAGTTTTTGAAGCTTGATAAGCTGATTCTGAAATTCACATGGAAATTAATATATATGGATCAAAAATAAAACTTCTAGAAGAAAATTATTTTATTTTTAGTGCCTTTTTAAATGACAGGTAAATCCAAAGACCTAAAGGAAATGAAAGATAAATTTGCTAACATAAAGATTTAGAAAATAACCATAATACAAAAAATACCACAAAGGTCAAAAATGAACTGAGAAAAATATTTAAAATATATTTACTTGATAAGGGGCTAGGTTCTTATATATATATACACTTTAAGTTCTGGGATATATGTGCAGCAAGTGGAGGTTTGTTACATAGGTATACACACGTGCCATGGTGGTTTGCTGCACCTATCAATCCTTCATCTACATTAGGTGTTTCTCCTAATGCTATCCCTCCCCTATGCAACCCCCACCCAACAGGCCCCGGTTTGTGATGTTCCCCTCCCTGTGTCCATGTGTTCTCATTGTTCAACTGACACTTATGAGTGAGGACATGCGGTGTTTGGTGTCCTGTTCCTGTGTTAGTTTGCTGACAATGATGGTTTCCAGCTTCATCCATGTCCCTGCAAAGGACATGAACTCATCAATTTTTTATAGCTGCATAGTGTTCTATGGTGTATATATACCACATTTTCTTTATCCAGTCTATCATTGGTGAGCATTTGGGTTGGTTCCAGGTCTTTGCTGTTGTAAACAGTGCTGCAATAAACATATGTGTGCATGTGTCTTATAGTAGCATGATTTATAATCCTTTGGGTATATACCCAGTAATGGAATTGCTGGGTCAAATGATATTTCTGGTTCTAGATCCTTGAGGAATTGTCACACTATCTTCCGCAATAGTTGAACTAATTTGCACTCCCACCAGCAGTGTAAAAGCATTCCTATTTCTCCACATCATCGCCAGCATCTGTTGTTTCCTGGCTTTTTAATGATCACCATTCTAACTGGCATGAGATGGTATCTCATTGTGGTTTTGATTTGCATTTCTCTGATGACCACTTATGATGAGCTTTTTTTTGTATGTTTGTTTGCTGCATAAATGTCTTCTTTTGAGAAGTGTCTGTTCATATCCTTTGCCAACTTTTTGATGGGATTGTTTATTTTTTTTCTTGTAAATTTGTTTAAGTTCCTTGTAGATTCTGGATATTGGGGCTGTGTTCTGTAATATCTGAAGAGAGCTGTTAAGGAAAATAATGAAAGCCCAATAGACAGATGCGCAGTGGGAATAAGCAGTTCACACATACACAGAAAACAACGTAACCAGCAAATAGAATAAAAGGTGCTGTGTTTCATCTACTATTAAAAGGATGGAAAAGTGAAACAATGAAGTAACATTTTTTCCCTACTGGATTGGCAAATATCTAAAAGAATAATACAATGCTGCCAGAATATATATCCATAGGAACTCTCTCCTGCCCAGTTGGTGGGAAAGTGAATTGGCACAATCTTTTCATAGGTCAATTTGTCAATATTTGTATTGAATTTAAAAATGTGTATATCCTTCATCAATTTTCACTTCTAGTAATTTATTTGTAAATGTACTGACATGTACATAAGGTATACACATAAGGATGTCTATCATAGCCATGTTTGTATTAGGAAGATCCAAACAAAACAAAATAGAAGTGGAAAGCACTTAAGTGTTTAGCAGTATTCAGAGGACTAGTTAAATAAATTAGGGTACATCTATAGAATAGAATACTTTTTCCAGGTCTTAAGCAGAATGTATTATTAGATTGGCTTGCATGAGCTCTCTGAAACATATTGTGAATAAAAGCAAGAAATAGTGTAGCTTATGGGGTAAGTGTCCATTTGTGGTTTAACAAAATATATAAACTAGAATTTGTACATGTTATCTGGAAGGAGGCACAGGAAACTGTTGATGGTTATCTCTGGGAGTTTGAAATGCGGGATGGAGAATGGGCTATTTTAATCTTATAGTCCCTTTTGAACAGTTGGAATTCTGTTTATTATGGGCATGTGCAGTTTTCACAATAAAAAACAAAGGTTTTTTGTTTTATGTGCACTACTTATATTTTTTTTCTTGGATTTTTCCAGATTTCTCTTGCACTTTGCTTTGTTTTGATGTTTGGGAACTCAATGTTATTAACTTCTTATTATGCTTCTTCTTTGGTAATTATTTGGGTAAGTATTAACACTTATATGGCTATTTTTGAAACTAGTGGTTTAACAATTTTTTCTTCACTGACTTAGGATTCATGAGGGTTTTCTGTAGGAACCATCTTAGGTGTCTTACTGAATATACTAGATGTGATGGTGTTCAAGTACTCCTAAAACAGGAAAAAAGAAAAAAAAGGAAAACTTAGTATCATTCCAGAAAGGTTTCTATACTTTCTTCTCCCTTCCTCCTTTCCATTTTTATCCTATTACTGCTCCACTTTTTGAACCCCTTTCCTCTCATTGCAATCTTTATAACAGCCACCCCTCTTCATTCCACTGTGATCAGAAGATCAAGGCCTTGGTTACTTTGTTTTTTGTTTTTTGGGGTTTTTTGGTTTGTTTTTTGCCCCTTATCTTCTTGTATGGACTGTTCAGATGGTTTAAGTAAGGTGATGATTCAATTTTATTTTGCTAAATCACTACCAAGAACATCTTTAGATTATGGAGAGATTATTTTACAGAATTAGAACAAATTGATGGAAGGTCATCTAATTCCTTCTACCACATTTGGCAGGATGACTTTATTTTTTTGTTTGTTTTGTTTTGTTTGTGTGTGTGTGTCTGTGTGTGTGTCTGTGTGTGTGTGTTTTGACAAGTTTCGCTCTTGTTGCCTACGCTGGAGTGCAATGGCGCAATCTTGGCTCACTCCGCCTCCTGAGTTCAAGCGATTCTGCTGCCTCAGCCTTCCAAGTGGCTGGGATTAGGGGCATATGCCACCATGCTCGGCTAATTTTGTATTTTTAATAGAGACAGGGTTTCTCCATGTTGGTCAGGCTGGTCTCGAACTCCCGACCTCAGTTGATCTGCCCACCTTGGCCTCCCATAGTGCTGAGATTAGGTGTGAGCCACCGCGCCCAGCTGGCAGGTTGACTTTGCAAGTCTAAAAGTCTTCTGAAATTTACAGACTGCCTTATTTTTGGTAGGTTTCCATTAAAATGTTTTGCAAACTTATTATTCCTTTTGTTTAAAGTGCATGTGCTTTAATTTCCCAATGACTTTAAAAGCGTATTGCACTGTCGTAATTGGAATATATTCTACTTCTTGAGTAATTAAGTTACTTAGATCATTTGGGGTTTCTTAATTTCTAGAACCCATTACATTTGAAACCTCTATTTTCATTTATTTTACAAATAATATTTATTTAAAAACCCATTTCTTGACCGAGTGCAGTGGTTCATTCCTGTAATCCCAGCACTTTGGGAGGCTGAGGCGGGCGGATCATAAGGTCAGGAGATCGAGACCTTCCTGGCTAACAAGGTGAAACCCCATCTTTACTAAAAATACATGAAATTAGCTGGGTGTGGTGGCGGGCGCCTGTAGTCCCAGCTACTTGGGAAGCTGAGGCAGGAGAATGGCGTGAACCCAGGAGGCAGAGCTTGCAGTGAGCCGAGATTGCGCCACTGCACTCCAGCATGGGCAACAGAGCGAGACTGTATCTCAAGAAAAAAACACGCATTTTTCAAAAATATGCCTCTTCCCAGTCTGGGCCACCACCCTTTTCAGGTTGTGCCTTGAGTATACTTAGCTACAGAAATTAGCAATTAGCATGATGCTATATTTTCAACAACAACAAGAAAAATCATAACTTTGGGATTAATAAGTATAGTTCTTCAGTTCTGTGTACTCTGTTTATTATTAGGAAAGGTGACAAAGTACTCAGTTGTATGTTTTACATATGTACTTTGTCATGTACTGCTATCACCCAGGATCAAGTACATGAATCTTGGTACTATGGACAGGGAAACCATTGAATCGAATATTACATATAAATAAAATCTAATTTAAGTACATTTTGTAGGACATTTCTCTTCAGTTCTATATGTCAGGTATGCTGCTAGATGCTTCACACTGAGGTGTATCTTAGGTGTGAATTAAGTATATTTATGTGTATTCCATATATTTTGGTGTATTAAATGATAACAGGGAATACAGCATGTTTGTGCATATTTAACTATAAACACACATTTGTATATATTTATAATTAATCACTTTGAAACCTGAATTGTATCACATTTTGTATTCTTAGGTATTTAGAAACTTCCAAAAAGATTTAATTTGGTTTCAAGTATTTATGTCTGGATCTCTAATCATATTTTTGCCATGTTTGAAGTAGTTTTAGCTCCCCAAGGGTAATACAGTTTGGGAGCATTACCACCTGAAAAATACTTCAGAGAAGTATTTAGTTGATCCATTAAAATTTCATTTGTTGTTTACCCTAAGAGTCAGTAATTTTTAGCTAAAGGAAAATCTTATCCCTGTATGACTGCTGTCCAAAATTCTGAAAATATTATATATCTCGTGGCTTAGAGATAAATCAGATATGTCAAATCAGTCATAGACATTTATATATGGTGATTCTTTTTTCAACTTTAAAAAGTCATGCACTCACCTAATTGACTTTGGATAATAGGGCTGTACCTTGAAGTCACTGACTATAGAAATGAGCATGTGGATGGTATGTGGAAAGATGACCATGTGCTACATTTTATATATTTGAGAATCTGTATTATTTAGAAGAATTTTTCGGTACTTGAATTTATGTCTATAAGTATTAACTGTGTATACTATGTTATTTTCTCTACTCAGGGTATTCTGGCAATGAAACCACATTTCCTAAAAATAAATGTATCTGAACTTAGTTTATGGGTAAGAATCAATCTATTTTAATGCTTATGTTTTTTCTTCTCTAAAATATATCATTGGTTTTATGTTTTATTTTTAAGAAAATGATCTATGTAATTCAGGGGATCTAATAGTTTCATAGTGTATTAGGGCTCAATTTTAATGTACCAAATTGCCCTTTTTATGAAACAAGTTAAAGTTATTCCTGGGTATGTAGTTTAAAAATTCCAGTTTTATTTATTACTCATGTTTCATCTGAGAAACAGTGCATGTATGAAAATCTGTTAAAGGGAATTTAACTGCAGTGGTTGTATAAATCTTCTATAAAATATATTAATTTTGATAAGATTGTATGATTATATTTTTATTTTTAGTTATTGCCCCTTGATTTTGAGCAACATGCTTGATTTTAAATTGAGATGCATTTTTTAGCATTTTGTCTTGTAGACAGCAATATATATTTCATGTATGATTAAAGCATTTATTTTTTTCTTCCTAGCCTATGTCTATGGAATATGAAGCATCAAAGTTATTTTTGTTTTCTTTTTTTAGGTTATTCAAGGATGTTTTTGGTTATTTGGAACTGTCATACTTAAATACTTGACATCTAAAATTTTTGGTATTGCAGATGACGTAAGTGCATTTTTTGCTTAAACTTGAAAGACTTGAATCGGCTAAGAATAAATTGAGTTATTCAAGTATTACTATTAAAATGAAATTCTAGGATGAAGTCTGTTCACCTATTATTTTATCTATTTAATATAATAGAAAGTAAATGTAATTGTATATAGATTTTCATTCTCCAAAATTAGTTTCTTAAAACAGTCTCTTTATTGTATTGGTCCTTCTTCGTCACTAAAATTTTAAAGCAGGAAAACTCTAGAGATTAAAGATCGAATTTTAAGGTCTATACAGACATTTTTCTCTAGCTTCTTTTTAACTGGTAAAGACACCATCTTCAGAGCCTTAACTGGAGATCGTATTATAGTCTTTTCTCCCCAGTTTTCAAGTCATTACTTGTAAAAGGCTTTTATAAGCCTTTATAGATAATTTAATCCAAGTTAGTCTTATTTAGAGAAGATTTTTGTTTGTTTTTGGTATTAGGGTTGAAGGGAAGATAAAATGGAGAAGTCTGTCTTATAAATTTAAGGATTCTCCCTGTCCATAATTGCTTTGCCTATTTTATTTTGGTGTTCTAATCAGCACATCCTAAGTCAGGAGGCTGTCAAAGATTTAATTTAAAAAAGCACAAGAACCAATATGGAAAAAATAAACTACTTTCTTTCCTATAATTTATTTTTATTGGGTGATTTTCTTCTTTCTGTACTAGATTAATGTTATGGTTTTGAAACTGGGTTATGTGAAGTCCTAGGACTTCCCAGGACTCTTCCCTGAGAGCTGTGTACTCCCCCATCTCCTAGCCTCTCTTACCCAGGGCAGTTTAACCTTAATCTCTTTCATATAGGTTTTCATAAGAACAAGGGTTGTTTTTGCTTAAAAGATTGAAAGCACATGGACCATTAAATGGGTGGTCTACAATCTGTGGAAAGATTTTTAAAACTTTAAAACTATAGTTGAAAATGTATTCATTCATTCATTCATTTAGTACCTCCTGTGTGCCTGACAATGGAAAGTATCCTAGAGATACAAAACTGAGTAAGGTATGGTCTAGCAGAAAATTCAGAAAATAGGACCAATTTCTAGCAGTTATAATACAGCGTAATAAAGGCTATGATAAAAAATTAAGTACAGAGTGCTTCAGGAATACACAGGAGGAGCGTTAGGGAAGGATCCTGGAAGTCATCTGAGGATGACAGCTGAAAGGTGGGTGAGTCAGCCAGTATGCAGAGCGCAAGCAGGAAGACAAGTAAAATAACCCTAGTCCTGCATTTATGGAATCTCTTTACCTCACTGGGGGAAAATGAACCAGTTAAGGTATTAATTCAGGTTAAAGCAATTATTGTCATTTTCTGTCATAGCCTAAAATTATGCCAGGGCCAAGAAAAAGATGCTGAAAACTCTGTTATTTGCAAATTAGAAATAACTTAGTTGTAACTTTAGTCTTTTTAGAAATATGTAACGTTGATCAAGGGCATTGGCTCATAAGTTCTTAACTTTGACATTGGTTAAAGGAAGAGAGTGGCAAGGCTACCCAGCCTTTCATTTCCTACTGAGTTCTCTACTTTTACTGACAGTGCCTCTGAGCGTAGGCTTTTAGCTGTCCGCCCCAAATCGGGTCAGCCTGCTCCAGTAGTGAAAGTTCTTTTTATGACCAGCCACACTCCGTCCTGCCCCCTTCAAAAGAACTGTTGCACTAACAGTATGGGGGAGATGAGGGTGGTACCTAGGTGGATGGGAGCAACCTAGGTAAAAATGCCACAGACTCCCACTGTTTTTACCCAGAGTTTCTCAGTTTTTTATGAATGAATGCTTCCCACGTCATTACTTCCTTTTGATTAATCTCTAGAACCCGATACGAGTGTTTTTTTTTTATATATATAATTTTGTCCAATTTTAAAGTTGTTTTGGAGAATGGGAAATACTAGTTTCTTCACTCTGTGGTATTTGGAAGTCGACACATTTTTTGATATACGAGTGTTGATGCAGCTTATATCCTGGGATAAACCTCACCTGCTCAAATGTAGTATTTCTTTTCTGTATTGCTGGATTTGGTTGGCTAATATTTTTAAGGATATTCGTCTGTTATTCATGAGGAATATTCGTTGTAGTTTTCTTTTCTTGTAATAATTTTGTCTGGTTTTGGCTTCAGGGCAATGTCATCTCCTGAAATTATTTGCAAGTGTTCTGTCTCCTGTTTTCAGAGAGATTTTTGTGTAGAATTGGTATTATCTCTTCCTTAAATGTTTGGTAGAATTTGACAGTGAAGCCCTCACAGCCTGGAGTTTTCTTTTTGTGTAGGTTTTTTACTACAAATTCAGTTTCATTAGGAAGCTCTCCAGTTCATCTGGAGTGAACTTTGGTAGTTTATGTCCTTAGAGGAATTTTGCCCATTTTCTATATGTCATCAAATGGATAATGCTTTTTGAGTTTAGTCAGTTAAAATTCTTATTGGAATTTTTGTGTATATGCGTATATGGGAAGTGATCTTTTTGTTCTTTGGTTGGCTTCTCTTTATTTGGATTTGGAATTAATATTGGTCTCCCATTAAGAGCTGTTGTGGTTTTTGTTTTTTGTTTTGTTTGTTTGTTTGTTTTTTCTTTCCTACTTTCTGTCAACTTGGGAAAGTTTTTTTTTGAAAGTTTAATAATTCATCTATGTTAACCATCTCAGTCTAGGGCTTTTTGGGAGGGAAAATACTTGATTTCTCTTTCAGATATTTGAATGCTTTTTGTTCTATTCAAGTTTTCTATTTATTTTTGTTGGTGCTTTATGGGGTTCCAGAAATGTATCCATTTTACCTAGCTTTTACAATTTATTAGCAAATTGTGTAGCCTATTCTTCTTATTTTAATTATGTTGAGTCCATAGTTATTTCTCCCTTTTTCATTTTGCTTTTTGTTTGCATCTTTTATTTCCTTCATTGGACTTGCTCTAGAGGTCTGTTGTTTTAATATTTTTAAAGTTGTACCTTTTTTCAGTCCTCTTTGGTTTTGTTGTGTTTCTCTTTGTCACCAATTCCTGTCCTTATTCTTAGATCTTTTTGTTTCCTCTCTTCTGATGCCCAAGGGAAATGCTTAGCTCTGTTGTTTTCACCTCTCTTGTTTTCTGATCAATGCTTTTAAAGCTAAAATTTTCTTATAAGTGCGTAGTACTTCTTTATATATCTTATAGATTGGCTATATGTGATTTTTTTTAAAGTTTTATGATATTTAATTTCTAATCAAAAAAATTTTAAAGCAATTTTTAGTTATTTTCTAGTTTTATTGCATTTATAATCAAATATATGTATATATTTGGAATTTATTGTTGCATGGTATATGAATATTCAAAAATATTTCACTTGTGTTCAAGGATAATGTGTATTCTCTTTGTGAAGTTTATATTCTCTGTGAGCTAGTTGATTGTATTCACCTTTTATGTTAACTTTTGTCAACTTTTTTATTCAAGGAGGCAGTGTTTAACATTTTCAATGAACACTGTCAACTTTTCTGTTTCTTCCTTTAGTTTTTGTCAGTTCTTATTCTGTGTACTTTGCATCTATATTTTTAATTGCAGATATGTTGGCAATATGTATAATCTTGCTTTTTTGTTGGCAATATGTATAATCTTGCTTTTTAATATAATATGTAATATTATATTATAATAATATATTTATTGTCTCTTTTCATGTATTTTTTGCTTGAATTCAGTTTTGTGAGACATTATAATTGCTAACAGATTTGTTTTAAACTTGCATGGTATATCTTCTTCCATTCTTCTATTTTCAACCTTTCAGCATACTTATAAGTATTTCTTTTGGTGACAACATAATATTAGATTTTTTCCCCTTAAGTCCAATTTGAGCATCTGCCCCTTAATTAGTGAATTTATGCTCTTTACATATATGTTAATTGTTATAATACTAGGACTTACTTCTTTTATTTTGTTTGGGATTTGTTTTTTTCTGCTATTTTAGGTGCCGTATATTCTTCCTATTCTTAAACTTATCAGCATACATTTCTTCTCCCAAGAAGACACAGTATTTTGAAATGCTTCATCACATACCTGCCACCATCTAGTTCCTACTCTTACCCTGTTCCTTCTGCTTCATGTAGATATCATAGAATTTAGTCATGGTTTGTCCTAGATATAATTTCTCCTCTTTTCTTTGGTCATTGCTTTTGTAGACTATAGTGAACTTGAACATTTGGCAAATGTATTCTGTCTTTGTGCCCTAGTTTTCTTGTTTATAAAGTGAAAATAATTCCACCTTCCTCACATGGCTTTTTGTGGGAGGTAATGTGGCAGTGTGAGTGAGAATGCTTGATAACATGTGAATAATTATGTGGGAGGTGATTATCAGTCAAAAAGTACCTTTTATTCCAATGCCTGCCGATTTCTACTTCACTCAAGTACCCTTTTCAATCTCCTTTTCAGAATTAGTATTTCCTTTTCTTTACCCCATAGCCCATTGTGCTTTTATGATTAAGAGATGTCTGTATGTGTTCTCAAGCCCAGAGCTGCTGGTAGGCTCCAGCAAGGGAGATACTGTGTAGCCTGTTACACCAGGTTTAGCACAGTAAACTGGGAAAACCCAAAGGAAAAAGCCTTTGGGATGTTGATGAGTGTGGAAGGTAGAGTGTCCTTGGAGCTATCACTATTCAGCAAAAGAAGGGAACTGTGAAGGTGGAGGGTATAGCTTTTCCTTCTTTAACAAAAGCAACCTTGGTATGGGAACAGTGGACTGCGTAATGTAATGAAAACTATTTTCAGATACTATTGAAATTAAAATATATTATTGCAGTGTATGGCTTAATGTAATGGTAACTTTATTTCTTACCAGGCTCATATTGGCAACTTATTAACGTCAAAATTCTTCAGTTATAAGGATTTTGATACTTTATTGTATACCTGTGCAGCGGAGTTTGACTTTATGGAAAAAGAGGTAAGATGTGATTTCTAGTTCTGTTTCCTAAGATTTTGGTCCATACATTTTTCATAAAGGGTGCTCCTCTTATATCAGACTCTTTATGTGCTGTTATCTCAGTTTGATGGAAAAGGAAAATCTGGCAGCTTAGAGGAAGATTTTTCTATTTACATTAGTGCAGCTCCCTGGAATATATGGCCTTTACTCATTTTGATAATTTAGAAATAACACATTCAGACGAGCAGTGGTTTTCTAGGTGAGTAAACACAGAGGCATTTCAAGTTGCCATTTTTCTGTGATAGCATTAATTTAGTCAAGCTCTCAAACTCTTACATTTCCACTCATTTTGTGGTTATTTAAATAGATATTTGTTTTGAAACATCAAGTCCAGGCTTTTCATTCCAACAGCATTTTTCTGTCTAAAACTGTATTCAGAGATTTAGAAGGAAAGCAGAGAGTAGTTTAGTGGATTGTGAGACAGAAGCCTGCAATTTTGCTTGATATTCTTGAACAAGCAACTCTCATTCCTCATGTTGTAGTTTACTAGTTTCTAGTAGCATGCCATAAACAGATATTTTGAAGACAAAATGAGATAATACATAGGAAAGTACTTTGATATTTTAAATATAGAAATATTTAAATAAATAAAATATTAATTTGCAATACTTTATGAGCTGCTTTAGTTCAACAGACATATATATATGTGCATTTTTAACACCATCAATGTGGTACTGATTAATTATATTATCTGTGTCACTCCTTCAGAGTGGTGTGTGTGTATATGAAATTGGCCAGCAATACTCTATTGACATGTTAGTTTCCCTCATGATCCCACTGTGTTAGCCCAGCGTCCAGAGTTCCAGACCAGTGGATGCCAGGGCACCACACAGGAAACTTTTATCTACCAGCCGTTTGGAGTTGAGTGTGTTCTGCAGAGGTACTCTTTACTCCAGTGGCCTGTCAGTCTTCATTTATTGTGTTCCGGCAAATGGTTTTGACACACAATGACTGACAAAGATATATGAGTTTTAGTGTTAAACCCGCTGAAACAAACGAACGAAGCATATCTTGCAAGACATTGAAATGCATGTTCATAGGGGATCAAGACTCCTTCAAATATTAGAGAATTAGGATGTGGTGGAAGTTCTTTAACGTTATTGAGAACATCATACATACTGCTACAACCTGAGAGTATTAAACATAAGTTATGTGATGAAAGAAATAATTTATTGAGGCATAGCATGACTTCAGCTAATTTGAAGAAAATAGCAAAGCTCTTTCCAGCATGCCATTCCGCATCACTGTATGTATCTGAATTCATCGGGACTGTGCTGTAGAGACAGAGTAGTGTCAGTTCAGGGAACATATGTTCCAATTATAGTACACCCATACAGTGTATTGTGTGGTACACCCATACAATACCCATAACGTGCTATTTCCTAACATGATATCATACTGACATGGAAAGATGCTTAAGATATATAATGGAGTAAACAAAATGATATAGTCTTATTAACCCATAATTAACACACATAAAAGTAAAAAAAGTATAAAAGAGCAACAGTTTAACAGTGGTTTTTTGGGTGGAGAGATAACTGAGAGGTGCACAAGATCACAATGTGTAGGGCTTTGTTATTAAACTTATTTCTATTTTTTTCTTCTAAAGAAAATGTAAAAGTCTTTTGCTCCCCTCAAACATCGATCATTATTTTGTTTATGCATGAGAGAGAAAGAGAGAGTGTGTGTGTGCGTGTGTTTCAAGAATCAAAATATACAGGAAAAGCTTATTCCATTTAAAGGAACTTTACATACCTTAGATGACTATTAAGTTGGTCTCTCTAGTTAGATAAGTAGCATGCAAAAAGTGAACAGTAATCTCTTCAGTCACATGTCACACTTACAGGGGTTTAGGTACTGTATTTTTAGTGTTTCAACTCAGCATTTTGGGGCAGTTCATTTCTGTGGAAATGCACCTTCCTTTTTATGATGGCAGGCAGTGGGTAGATTGGTGAATGTTCATATTTCTCTGCTTTCAGAAATTTACCTATTTCATTATTTGAAATGAAATTTTGTTTGGTTAAAATATTTCCTTCAACAAAACATCTGTTTGAATTTCAGACTCCACTGAGATACACAAAGACATTATTGCTTCCAGTTGTTCTTGTAGTGTTTATTGCTATTGTTAGAAAGGTATGTCTATCACTTAAGAGCTCTTTCTTATAATATTTTCTTGTTTTTACATAGTACTTGCATATACTTGGCCACATATTAATATGATACAATGTTTTTTATGGGCTTACTATAACATGTTCTATGTTTTCTTAATGATAGTTTTTGATAGACATTTATATATCTGCAAAATATTCTATCTGCTAGCATAAAACAGACATCGGAAAAGGATGGCTCAAGTTTAGATAGTCATGTATTTTGGAAAACATGAACAGAGACCATATTGACCCAGATACAACTTGCGTGTGTAAATTATTACTGGCTTCTACCTTTAATGTAATATTTCCCTAAAATATTTAATATATACCTTTCTAAGTGATTTGTGCAGTGTACAGTAACTCCTGTGTTTATTATTAATCAGAAAGAAAAAAACAGAGTATTTGCAATGTGTTGATGAACTAGATAAAATGTTTAGGTCCCCAACTTGGTTTTGATAATAAAATTCTAAGCCCAGATATAAATAAGGTCAATGGAAGTGTGATTTTCCCTCTCTTTTTTTCCTTCAAGAATTGTGCACTCTGTAACCAAATGTGTCTTAAGAGAATGAGTAGAAGTTAATCTGTGATGGAAAAAGAGATGACAGACCTTAAAAGTTTCCTGATCTGTAGCCAGTGATTTCTGTGTTAACACAATTTCATTTATTTGTAGACTATTCTGTATGATAACAATTGTTCATATTATGTATTTGTACTCTGCTTTGTATGGAACATTTTCACATGAGTATTTAAATTGGTTATTCGACAGCCCTGTGGGGCAGACAAATGTTATCCCCATTTTCACATACAGAACTGAAAAACCAAAGATGTTGTTAGAAGCCTCACATCACGTCCACTTAAAATCTAGGGAAGAGTGAGACTCGGGCTCTGCACCTTCCCTGTCATAGGGCTACATCTAGTATTCAGCTGTGTACTCCAACAGCACTTTTCATCTCTAATCAGTTAATAGTTCCTGCTGTGCGCTAGGCTTTGTGTGTGCTTTGCACTTTTATACACTTTATGTGGATGTGCATCTAGTGGGTACTCAAAAAATACTAAGCATTGGCCATCCAGAACATATGCAAAAGACAGGATCCTGAGTGGTGAGAGGTGATGAAAACCATTAGCTAGGCTGTTTCGTTTAAAGAAGAAAAGATTCAGATGGAAAGCGGATAATTATTTTGAAATGTGTTGACAGCCTGCCCCTTGAACATAAGGTTACACACAATCTGGCTCCTTAGAATCATGGCCAATTCCAGGTGGTAGGACTTTTGACCAGAACTGATCAATGGATAAGGAAAGTGTTATAGATTCAAGCAGCAGCTACGAGTGGTTCTTCTAAGGGCTGGATTACAACCTGTCATGACCATTGAGAATATTTTACAGGAGATAGGATTTTAAGTTAGATGACCTCCGATTGGTACTTCAAAAGTGCTGGCTTCAGCGACTGTGTTTGAATGCTTCTTGATGATTATCAACCTTTGAGCCAGCTCAGTTTTCTGTGTGTACTGTTAAAAGGAGAAGTTGCCAACAAACGTTGGCATGGGCAAACAGCACTGAATCATGAATTTGGCTCCAGAAGATCTGGTTTCAAGGACTGCCCAGTCGCCTATGTGGTGTCTCTACAAGAGCGATCATTTAATCCATCTGGGCTTGTTGCTCATTTACAAATAAGTGATATCATCTACCCAACAATTTTTCATTGAATATTAAAAGCTTTCCGATCCAGATACTACACAAATATAAGATTATGTTGTTGTGATTATTATTTTCTGAGTTATCTCTTGTATCTCTATGTATATTTTCATTGAAGTTTTACAGTTTAAGTGCTGAGTTAAAATATTGTTTCCCCTTTAGCCTTTCTAAAGTGTTTCAAAATCTGTTTTAGGTTATTAGTGATATGTGGGTGTCTTGGCTAAACAACAGACACATGTACTTAAGGTAAATATGCTATTAAAATTTTATTACCTCTCTGTTCATTTATTAAATGATATTTATAGTGTATTAATTTTATGCCCCATGTTGTACCTAATATTTGATAATATATATTTTTGTCCATTCCCATTCTTAGTGATTTCTTCTTGTTTTCTGTCTATCTGTGGGAACACAGCACATCATATTCATCCTTCAGATGTCAGTACAATCTGACAGTAGCCTACACATAATCTACACTTTCGAAGGATGCAGTTTTGTACTTCAGTTCAGCAGGAAGAATGGGGGTGTTAATAAGGTGGTTTGGGACGGTGGACTGCCTTTTGGAAATGAGCAGGAAATGTAAGAGCTAGTTCATGCTTCTCACTTTCACGAAAATAGAGATTTCGGGTGAAACCCAGAGATTAGGTGTAGGAAAAAATAAAACCCAAAGGTGTAGGAGAGTATGTTTTATAAATCTGGGGATTAGAAAGAATTTTATTACCTCCTCTGTTCATTTATTAAATAGATATTTATAGTGTATTAATTTTATACTTACATGTTGTGTACCTAATATTTGATAATATATATATTTTTTGTGGTCCATTCCCTTCTTGGCATTTCTTCTTATTTCCTATCTGTGTAGAACACAGCACATCACTTATTCATCCTTCAGATGTCATCCAGTACAATCTGACAGTAGCCCTGCACATAATCTACACTCGAAGGACGCAGTTTTGTACTTCAGTTCAGCAGGGAAAGTAAATTATTATGTGAGTGGTTTTAGGACCAGTGGACTGCCTTTTGGGAAATGAGCAGGGAAATATAAAACTGGATTCATACTTCTCACTTTTCACAGAAAATAAATTTCAGATGAAGCAGAGAATTAGGTATAGGAAAAAAATAAAACCCCAAAATTAACCAAGAGAGTATGTTTATAATCTGAGAGTTAGAGAGGCCTATAGCATGCTTGGTATTTTCCTCCATCACACCCTTTATCTTACTCTTTCCATTTATCACCCTTTGTACTTAAATGTTGATGTGTGACCTGTGTCTCCTGAAGGGAGCGACCATTTTTGTTCCACAGTTTATATACAATGCCTGCAAGATAGTAAAAAATAGTAGTTGAATGAGTGAGTATTTACATATGACTAATGAACATGAAAAGGCAGTCTTGATCCTATGGTAAAGACATTCAGGTTAAAGTGAAGACCTTTTCACTTCTCATATTTCTAAAAATTAATAGTATATCCAATGCTTGCAAGAGTGGGAGGTAGTGGATGGGAGGGAAGTTTGGCAGTACACAGTAAAACATGTAGTGGGCCTGTCCTTCAGCCCTGCAGTTCCACCAGTGCAAGTATACCCTCTAGAGATGCTCACAGAAATACAGAGATGATGGGGAGAAATGCCTTTTGTAGAACTGTGTGTAATGTGAGAAATGGAGACATCCAAAATATCTCCTATGATCCAATCATAGAGTGGAATGTTAGACCATCTTTATGGAAATAGGTCCAGTATACATTATTGAATTTTAAAAATTGCCTGTGTGTGTGTGTATAGGATCAATATACTTCTGTTTAAAATTTGGAGATTTTTGTGTGTTTGTGCATAGAAGTGATCTGGAAAGATAAATCCTGTAATTATTAAGAGTGTGGGATTGGAGGATGGAGTGAAGGTACTTTTAACTCTGCTTTTATTCTTTTGTGGGATTTTGGGGGGACAAGGATTGTTCAATGTATGTATCTATATTTTCTTTTCTTTCTTTCTTTCTTTTTTTTTTTTTTTTTTTTTTTTTTTTTGAGACAGAGCATTGTTCTGTTGCCCAGGTTGGAGGAGTGCAGTGGCACAATCTCGGCTCACTGCAACCTCCGCCACCAGGGGTCAGGCAATTTGTCTGCCTCAGTCTCCTGAATAGCTAAGACTACAGGCAACCACCACCATGCCTGGCTAATTTGTGTATTTTTAGTAGAGATGGGGTTTCACCATATTGGCCAGGCTGATCTTGAACTCGTGACCTTATGATCTGCCTGCCTCAGCCTCCCAAAGTGCTGGGATTAGCCACTGCGCCTGGCCCTATATTTTCTTTTATAATTTGAATATACACACCTTATATTATTCCCTCACCTCCAAGTCTCTGCCAACATAATGATAAATTATTGCATATACTCCTAAGAGAATCCTTGTTCTCATTTAGAAACAATTTGCTGTAACTATGCCCTTGTTTATACCTGTAACATTTGAGTGGAGGGCTAAGGGGAAAAGAAAAGGTTCTGGTTTACAGTGCCAAAATTTTTCTTCATTTGAGGTGCAATTATTTTTGAAGAGCTGAGGAAGAAGCTACGAAGTTTCAGCTCTAGTATGCAACTCTGGAAGAGGAAGGTAGAACTTTTCACAGAAACAAAGCTGTCCCTTCAAGAATAATAACTCACCTGTGGAAACAATTATAGGGAACCATTGAGTTTCATGGGGTTTTCAGTTCAAATAGGATCAGAGCTCTTTTTTGGAAGAGGAGTGGCATGCTGACATTTTATTTTGCATAACTACCAAAGCCCGTGTAAAAAGGGGAAGAGTAGGACATAAATCTTAACTATGAAAGATGTGAATGCCAATATTCTCTTTACTCAAAGACCCAGGAAGTAAAGTGGGATAGAGGCAGCATGATGTAGTAAAAAGTATATTGGTTCTGAAGTCAGTCAGAATATAGTCCTGGCTGCCACTTAGTAGCTCTGTGATTCCCTTTCCTTGGCTGTAAATTGGGGTAATAAATCGTTGTAGGATTAGAGTTAATGGAATGTGCTAAGCATATTAACATTGTAAGTACTCAACAAATGGTAACTGATGGTTTTTACTTGGTGTGAAAGAAGAATAAAGAAAGAACTGTTTCATCTCCTTCACTACCCCCTTATGTGTCCTGAGTTTGCAATATATTTTGAGGCCAAGTTCTCAAATTAGATTATATGCTACCTGGATTAACAGTTAATTGATACACTTGTTCATTCATTAAAAATGTTGAGCTCTAAGTGTCAGGTATTACTCTAGGTCTTGGGAACATATCCGTGCTTAAGAAAGAGAAGGTGTGTGTTGTCAACTCACACATTCCCATCTCTGACCCAGACTTCTCCCTTTAACTGAGATTTACACATATAACCACCTGTTTGTCTTCCGTACTTGGTTGCCTAGTGAAAATCTCAAAGGTGTTTTTCATCCCATGCTTTGCTGGGGTATCACCAGTGAGGGAGCTGGGACACCACAGTGTGCCTTTGTTGTCCTAATAAATACCCATCTAGGCAAATAGTTAGGATATAACACAACATTATCATTCTTCATTAACTTTCTTAAAAGAATATAGCACTAGTTTTGGCATGTGACTTTTAGTTATTTTGATTTGCCTCTATGTGTCCTGAGAGAATGTTATAGAAGTTGTAAACTCCTATTTGCAAGCTGAAATGCAAATATATGAAGTAAGTGCTTCAATAATGAATTGGTAGCAATATATTGTTTTCTGTTCCAGAAAACACCAGTTTGATCATGGAGAGGTAAAGACTTAATATCACTATAATTTTACTTATCTTAAAGTTGCATGCATTTGGACTTTCCTTTCTAGTTCCAGTTTCTAACTTTGTTAGCAATTGTCAGCAATCATCTTGAAAATAGCCTGGTATGTGTTTTTATGAGAATGCTACATGCAGATTCACTGATCATTCATTTGTTAAAATTAACTAGGAAACTCATTTGTTCTGCTCTGATCATCTTTACGCTAATGGCAGTTGATTTCTGGAGCCCATTAAGATATATATGTGAGGTGTCTATTGCATGACTGGAAATCACTTTCCTCTCTGCTCACCTTGCTGGAGGCCTCAGAGATGTGATTGGTTACTGCTCCCATCTCCTAGTGGTCCAGTCTGGTTTTGAGGGCGGTTCCAAAATAGAGGCCTCAGATCTTGAGGCAGCAGTCATTTCTTTTACCACTGTCTTTTCTTGGTCTGATGGTAGCATCCAGGTAGATTCAAAAATGTGGGCTTTATCAACCACAGGTTTGACTCTGAGAATCACAGAAGCACTTGCCTTAATGACTTGATAATTTTAGGCTTCCACTAAAATGGAACATTTTGAAAGTGAATTTTAAGAATTGTTTTAGAAATTTCAGAAACCTAAGTAGTAGTACTTTTTGTTACTAAGGAGAACATACCCCTTTCTACATATTGCCAGCTTAGTATTCTTAAACTTCACTAACAGTAGGAGTAAAAAATATTTTCTTCTTTCTTTCAGCTGGTTTATCATGCATTGCAATTGTTAGCATATACAGCCCTTGGTATTTTAATTATGAGACTAAAACTCTTCTTGACACCACACATGTGTGTTATGGCATCACTGATCTGCTCAAGACAGGTAACATGTTATGTTGGAGTATAGCTACTATAATAATTTTAGCCTTTATTATTGAGTGGCCCTAAAATAATGAATTACAAAGTCTTTTAAGTGATTATAGTTAAAGCTCTTCATGGTTTTGTACTTATCTTTCTTAAAGGGTAAGGGCCAAAGCTGATCATTTTCTATCTTTCTAAAGACTTTAAAATAGTTGTTGGTGTACAGCAAACACTGATTTAGTACAGACTGAGTTCATGAGTGGTTACTGCAGGTGCTGATAGAAAGCAGAGCTTAATTGTACAAATAGTAACTTTTTTTTTGTTTTGACATTCATATCACAAATAATCCTAACAATTTCAAGTTATAAGTGCTTGAAAATTATATGGTCTTTTTTTTTAGTGTCAAACTTAAACTTTTTTTTTCATTTGGTACACATTTGGTGCACATTCTTGACTTGTGCTTTTTAAAATTTAGTTTAAGCCTTCCTTGGGGGTTTGCTGCTAATTTTTCCTGGATAACTGCCTCCTTGATCTGTATTCATAGATTTATGCTGCTTCATAGTGTCACCTTTCCATCAGTCAACCAGCCTACGTACAACAGCAGCCACCTCCCTTAAACATAGCAGATAGTCACTAAGCACCTACCCTGTGCACTCTAGGGATGGAGGATAGAGTAGTGGACAGAAAAGTCAAAAGCCAGTGTTTGTAAGCCCTCAAAAAACTTGAAATCTAGCTCTGTAGACATGCAGAGAAAGATCAAGAGAACAAAGTGTTGTTATGGAGTGTGGACTATTTGAATGTGGAAAAAAGTAGCCAGCCTCGAGGTTCCCAAGCAGAATGTCGATTGTGTTAGAAAGGCACTACTTTCCTCCTTTCTGACCCCTTCAGGCTGGCACAGGAGAGGAGGCTGGTTGGAAGCCTTTAATCTTGAGTCTTTATCCTGCAGCATGACTGATGATATAGGAGAGGAGGCTGGTTGGAAGCCTTTAATCTTGAGTCTTTATCCTGCAGCATGACTGATGATATAGGTTAGGTGCAAGGCAATGGTGAAGTTTATCATTAAAATAGCAAACCCGCAATTGTCTTGCACCAATCTAATAGAGTACACTCTGTGGGCAGGTTTTGCAAATGTGGGGTTCCTGGTTGTCACATTATGACCTGCATTCAGAAGGACCCTGAACTTGGTTGAATGTTTGCTGCTGCTGTTTTGAACGTCTTAATAATTTTTTAACAAGAGACCCCACATTTTTGTTTTGCACTGGGCCTTGTAAATTGCATAGGTGGTTGTGGCTTTACTTGCTGGGAGTAGAGAAAGCAGGTTGGAGAAAAGAGCTTCCTACATTGTGTTCCACCTATAAGGAGGTTGATGGTAGAATTCTTATCCCAAAGATTATTATTTTGGGGGCTTTTACATGATAATTAACCCCATTTGGGACTTCTAGCAGAGGCCACATTCTTCTCTGGGAAGAAGTTTTGCATAACAGATGCATACTACTTTATACTAACAATTACCAATGTATTCTTAATTTGGTTTCAGCTATTTGGATGGCTCTTTTGCAAAGTACATCCTGGTGCTGTTGTTTTTGCTATATTAGCAGCAATGTCAATACAAGGTTCAGCAAATCTGCAAACCCAGGAATATTGTAGGGGAGTTCACAGCACTGCCAGTAAGAAGAACTTATAGAGTGGATCAAATATAGTACTAAACCAGGTAAAAAAAAAAAAAAAAAGCCATACTTTTTAGCTGTTTTTCCTAATTTTATACCATTGCAACACTTAAACCCTAGTTACTCGCTGATCTTACTCTTTTCTAAGCACAGCTTGCTAAGCTTTTAGAATATCTAAAACAAAGGAGATATCAATCCTGTTTAAATGGTTTTCTGGGGAAATGTTATACATAAGTTCTTAGTACTTATTCTGCCATTTTTTATAGGATTTTAATTTTTTTCAAAATTTATTCAGAAATATAAATGCCACATTTAAAATAATTTTTACTGTGCTTATTTTCTTAATGAATTTTTAATATTAGTCCTTCACATTCCTTCTTGAAATAAACTCCTAGAATGTGATATTTTACTCATGTGTGGAAAGGGAGTCTTTGTTGTCATCTGAGTGTCAAATTTTTGAATGCTAAATCATCATCTAGAATTCTTTGTTACTATAAAGCTTTCCTAGTCCATTTGATACTTCTTTTCTAGATTCAGGAAGGATTTCTAAGATTTTTTTCTTGAAAGAAAGAAAGAAATCTTTAATAATGAGATGATGAAGCTCTATTTTGCAAGGAAAATAGTTTTCCCAGACCTGGCTGCCAACTGCTACTTTATCAGCCATCTGACCTCATTCTAGTTCTGCCATTGCATCTTGAAGTCATGAACCTGCTGGGCCTCCGCTCTGTTACCTGTGAAATAATTGATTTAAACTTGAAAGAGACCCCTTCTCACCCTCACTGAGTGTCTTCCTGAGACCTTCCTCTTGCTTTCCAGATGCAGTGTTTGCGGGTGCCATGCCCACGATGGCAAGTGTTAAGCTCTCTGCGCTTCGGCCCATTGTGAATCATCCACATTATGAAGACACAGGCTTGAGGTCAGTGCACAGTCTTGCATCATCAAAACAAACCTTCCATGCAAACAGACAGTGAGTGGAGGACGCCAGCAAAGGAATGAGGAATGTTCCAAAAGGATATGATGAACGGAGGCTTATCGCGTCGGGGAGCAGAAGGCTGAAGTAAGACTGCTAAGCTCTAAACAAATCCGTTAAGGCTTCACAGGGCAGGAAAGCAACAACTTTGGGGGCCATCTTCTCTACCAGGCAGAAAAAGGAAGTCATACTATAGTACTTTCCCACAGGTTAACAGGGTTCTAAAATGTCCAAGTTCTTTTCATCCTGTAACTCCCTGAAGAGTTTAGCTTAGGGTGTTTATTAAGGTTTTCTCATAGGTGATTTTTCTTGATTTTGGAGAAGTTATTTGAAATAGAATTCCATTCAAAGAGGAGTTTATTCTGGTTTTCACCAGTATAGCCTGTTAGAATGATCTTGGGTGTTTTCTGTTTTTTTAGATTTTTTTGAGACTTTAGAAAATAATTTAGAGACGTGTGGTCTAAATTATCTTTTTTTAAATTTAATTTTTCATGCAGTTTCTAAGGCAGGTGAAGCTATTCATTTTCTAAGTGATTAGGTGAATCTTATTAGCATCTTCTTTTGCATAACAATGGCATGTACATTTACAAATAAGTTTTTTCATTAAAAAATCAATCTCATCAAGCTAATTTCCAGACAATTTTGTTAAATAAGTTTAGTTTTTCTTAAATCTAGAAATAAAACGAAGAACCATTTAATGTGAATTACTGTTGATGTCGAAGTTGGGACTGTTGCAGCTTCAGAGTAGTCCTGTAGTTGTGTTTGCTATAGTTCATCCCTGTTCACACACAGGGTACCTCACTCTTACATGTGATGGAGCAGTGAAGAATTTAAGACAAATAAATCGGTGAACAAACACAAAGATGACCAAGTTTGGAAATGTAGGGGTGCGTTAAAGGTGACCCTCATCTCCCACGACTTGTCTTCCTTCTGCCTACTGCTTTTGACCTCACTGATGCCCGTTAGCCGGAACTTCCATGGGGAATTTCCTCCTGACTGGATTCCTCTTCATCGTCATCTAGTCTAATTCAGTGCTTTCTTCCAAATGTGTTGATTATATCATTTTAATCTTGAAAATTTTGTGCCCAATTATTTTTCTTTAAAGAGCCAGAACGAAAATAGTATACTCAATGTATAGTCGGAAAGCAGCTGAAGAAGTGAAGCGAGAACTGATAAAGTTAAAAGTGAACTATTACATTCTAGAAGAGTCATGGTGTGTAAGAAGATCCAAGTGAGTATCAACACAGTTAACATTTTATAATCAGAAGACACGAAGGTTAATTCAAGCACACGGCAAATACTTTGCTGGTGACAGGGGTGTGTATATAACATAAAGTATATGTGGAAAAACTTTTTTTTTTTTTTTTTAAACAGGCTCTCACTCTGTCACCCAGGCTGGAGTGCACTGGCATGATCTGGGCTCACTGCAGCCTCTGCCTAATTTTTGTATTTTTAGTGGAGATGGGGTTTTGCCGTGTTGGCCAGGCTGGTCTCAAACTCCTGGCCTCAAGTGCTACTCCAGCCGTGGCCTCCCAAAGCGCTGGGACTACAGGCATGAGCCACCACACCTCGCCGGAAAAAACCTTTTAGATAGTGATTTGGAGACTTTGTTTTCTAGTCTTTATAAATATCTTTTTTTAAAATAATGATTCGTATGTGTACTACCTTAAAGAGATTTTTATTGGCACTAGTTGATAATCTCCCAAATTGTTCATATTTGCTTTTGATGTTTTTAAAAAAAAAATTCTATTTGAAGTTGGATGTATTTTATTTCAAAAGACTTCCAGGGTCTGAAACCAAGTAATAGGGAGTCTCTTTTGGTGAAGTCAGGCAGCTGAGCACCAGGGGCCGCATTATCCGTACTGGGTCTCTGTGCTACGCCACGTCCTGTCGATGGATGGGATACCCTGTCAGCATCAACTCAGAAGGAAACTTTTCTCTCCCGGCGTTTCACATCTTATTTGAATGGGAAAAGAACTTTACTGTGACCCACATTCTTTTGGGTTTATAGTTTTTAAAAGTTTCTACTTCCACAGAGATGTTTACTAAGCTGAGTATAGCTGCAAGTGACAGTAAAATCTTCAAAGCAGATGTGAACCTAAAGCTATCTAGAAATGTGGCACGTAAGTGACTGGACAGCAGGTGACAGTAGCCTGCTTTTAAAGTACCAAAACATTCACTTCATGAAGAGCACAGTACAGGAACAATTTTATCAGAAAAAAACACTTATGAAATAATAATACTTTTTAAAGTCTTACTACTCTGTAACTAAAGTGTTCAAGAGATTGTTATATTTGTGGCTTGATCATACTTGCCCACCATAGATTTCAATGACACATATGGTATTAAGACAACATTGTTAAATACTGAGTCATGAGTGAAAAATAGTTCTGTGACATAGTATTTACAGCCTTGTTCACAAGGAAACTAAAATAATTGATTATAGAATGATTTTCCTATGAATGTGTGCTACGTGGTTTGAATTCAGTCAGGATTTATAGAAAATGTTATTTTGTAATAATTCAGAAAGTGTTTTAAGCATTTGTGAATATATATGAAATTCACATACTCACCTTTAACATTGTTATATAAATTTAGGACAGAAAAGTTCTAAGCATCTCATGACGATCTTATCAGGAAATTATATGAAATGAATGGTAGGCTGACATTTGCAATAGGAAGAACTCAGTTCTTAGCATAGCTTTCTACCAGAATTGGGATCTTCTTTATTTCTATGGGCTTCACTCTCTTGAAAAAACTGTAAGTTGCTGGAACATAAAAATAATTTTCATAACCTTTTTTCTCCAAGCTAACAATGAGCCTTGATTCGAGAGTTCATTTTTCCCTAGACCCCCGCGTAGAGTCTGAATATGTGAAGGTTGCAGAGGCTTTGTGCTGTAGAGTGTTCGGAGAGCTCCCTGGATTTGCACAGCTCTAACAGTCTCATGTTCGGGTTCATGCTGTTTGCAGAGTAGGCAGAGCACTGTTTTACCCACACAAGAAGGGATACGAAGGCAAATTCAGGAAGTATGGCAATAAACTTTGCACACTAAACAAAATAGCAGACATTGAACTGACTTCAGGTCACTTACGAGCACTCAGACTGAGAGGTGGGGTGCAGAAGAGGGGGTGCTGGATTTCCCCGCCTGGACCTTGACTTGCCATTTATTGTGTCTGTCACAGCAGGAGTTGAGTGGGAGGAAGTTACAAAAGTGACTCTCTCATCTGTTTTCCCACTCATCAAAACAGCACTCTCCATCTAGTACAAGATCTAAGCCAGGCTGATGACACACTGGCAGGAAACCCCGGACAGGGCCACTCTGCTTCAACCTTGACACAAAACAGAAGCTGTGCTTTCTGTCCTGACAGGGAAGCAAATGGGGAGTTCAGATAGGAGGGGAAAGTGAAGAATGACTAATATTTACCTAGTGTTTACATTCAGAGTAGGAAGTTTCTTGACAAAGCTTTCTGCCAGGTTTGGGACCTTCCTTATCTCCTTGGCCTTCACTCTCCATTTCAGTTGTGATCAGCCTGAAACCCTTGTAGACTGCCGGGACATGAAAGTCTGTCGGAATGGGGAAAGCAGATGGGGAACTCAGATAGGAGAGGAAGGGAAAGAGGGACCAGTATTCATCTAGTGCTTAATCTGTGCCTGGCAGTTGGTGAGCACTATGTTTAAATGATCTCATTTACAAGTGGCTTAATTGTATGGCTTGATTATTCCTTAAATATTTGACACTGTGTTTATATTTAAACACTGAAATATATTTGCATGCAAGTTGTAGATTAGTTTTTAATTAACTACAGTTCTCTGTTTTACTCCAATAATAGAGTTGACATAAAATACATGTATTTAGAAGGAAATTATTCACATTTTCACTAATGCTATTTGCAGATGGCTGGCCTGGGGAAACCTTGGGAAACTCAGATGAGGACTAAATAATGTTGCACAAGGCACCCAGAGCTCCCCAAGACAGCTGTTTGCCCTCTCTTTTTCCTTAAAGCTGTTGAACTCAGGAAAACTGTGGGTTGTTTTCTACTTTCTGTGTGTCTCACTCTCTGCCACCACGGCCCTCAGTGTTGTAACAGTTCAGCCTTGACGTGTATGAGAAAATTACAAGGTAGAAAACCCATGTCCAGCCATATGATCATAGGTGTTCCATGTCAGCAGAAACCAGTGTCAGCAAGGGGGTGCAAAAAGTGTGCACTTGAACCCTCTTCATGGGAATTCTCATTGGCAAAACATTTCTAGGGGATAGTTTGATGAAGGGAAGGTAAGAAAAAATTGTGCAGTCCTTTGGCAGAGTGATAATGCTGCCTCTGGAGCAGGGGTCCCCAAGCCCTCAGCCATGGACCAGTACTGGTCTGTGGCCTGCTAGGAACCCAGCCTCACAGCAGGAGGTGAGTGGAGGGTGAGTGAGCATTACAGCCTGAGCTCTGAGGTAAGAAAAATTGTGTGTCCTTGGCAGAGTGATAATACTGCCTCTGGAGCAGGGGGTCCCCAAGCCCTGCCAGCCATGGGACTCAGTACTGGTCTGTGGCCTGCTAGGAACCCAGCCTCACAGCAGGAGGTGAGTGGAGGGTGAGTGAGCATTACAGCCTGAGCTCTGGCTCCTGGGTCAGATCAGTGGCAGCATTAGATTCCTCATATAGGAGCACGAACCTCTTGAGAACTGCACATGCGAGGGATCTAGGCACATGCCTCTGTGAGAATCTAATGCCTGATGATCTGAGGTGAAACAGTTTCATCCCAAAACCATCCCCTTGACCTCCAGTCCATGGAAAATTGTCTGCACTAAACCGTCCCTGGTGCCAAAAAAGGTTGGGGACCGCTGCTTTAGAGGTTTAGCTTGTAGAAGGGAGCTCGGTACAAGACTGCTTATAGCTGCACTGTTTTTATAATGGCAAGATGGGAAACAAAGTATCTGTCTGTAAAGAATTGGTTAATACATATGAGAACTAGAAGCTTTTAAAACAATAGAGTAGGTCTTTATGTACTCAGATGGAAAAATGGTGCCACATTTTATTGTTCAGTATAGGTAGAGTCCCAGAATAATTCCATTTTTGTAAAAACAACTCAAGGCATCTGTCAGGTTTTCCAGAGGGACAGAACTAATAGGATAGATGTGGCTGAAGCGAGTGGCTCACACCTGTAATCCCAGCACTTTGGGAGGCCGAGGTGGGCAGATCACGCAGGTCAGGAGATCAAGACCATCTCTGGCTACAATACAGTGAAACCCCATCTCTACCAAAAATACAAAAAATTAGCTAAGCGTGGTGGCGGGCGCCTGTAGTCCCAGCTACTCGGGAGGCAGAGGCAGGAGAATGGCATGAACCCGGGAAGCGGAGCTTGCAGTGAGTCGGGATTATGCCACAGCACTCCAGCCTGGGCAACACAGCGAGACCCTGTCTCAAAAAAAAAAAAAAAAAAAATAGATGTATATATGAAAGGGAGTTGACAGAAGGGAGTATTGACTCACACGATCACAAGGTGAGGCCCTGCAATAGCCATCTGCAAGCTGAGGAACAAGGAAGCCAGTCAGAGTTCCAAAACCTCAAAAAGTAGGAGAGCTGACAGGGCAGCCTTCAATCTGTGGCTGAAGGCCCAAGGTGCCCTGCAAACCACTGGCGTAGATCCAAGAGTCCAGAAACTGAAGAACTTGGAGTCCAGTGTTCAAGGGCAGGAAGCGTTTGGCACAGGAGAAAGATGGAGGCTGTGAAGACTCAGCCAGTCTAGTCCTTCCACATCCTTTTTGTCTGCTTTTATTCTAGCTTACTGGCAGCTGATTAGATGGTACCCCACACAGATTGAGTGGTGGTCGCCTCTCCCAGTCCACTGACTCAAACATGTTAAATCTCCCTTGGCAACATCCTCACAAACACACTCCAGAAACAATACTTTGCATCCTTCAATCCAATCAAGTTGATACTCAATACCGAATTCATCACAGCGTCTGTGTATATAATGATATCCGTGTCTGTATGTGTGTCTGACATTGGGTAACCAAAGATCCAGCAGATACTAAATATTGTATGTTCTCAAATTTATAGTAACTTAAGCTGCAAGATCACAAGATAAAATGCCGGCGGACTGTGGGGACTCGGGAAGCAAGGGGTGGGGTTAGGGATAAAAGATCACACATTGGGTACACTTGACACTGCTTTAGTGATGGGTGCACCAAAATCTCAGTAACTGCCACTGAAGAACTTATCCATGTAACCAAAAGCCACCTGTTTCCCAAAAAGCTATTGAAATAATATTTTTTAAAAAGGTCCACAGAATATATGCTGATTATTTATAGAAGTCACCTCTGAGAAATGCTATTGGAGATGATGGTGACTTTCATTTTTTAAAATATATATAGGTCTATATTTTGACACTTTTATAATGACTATTATAAATTAAAGATGTTATTTAAAAGGGAAATGATGTGGCCATCCCCTGCTATGTGTGTTTCGCTCTATGGTGGAGAGTGAGGGAGGGACTGCTACTAAACCTAAAGAGGGACTTGTTGGGAATTTTTTTTTCTTATTTAAAAATAAAATACATATGTATACTTGCCATGTTGGGTGTGCCGCACCCATCAACCTTCGCCATTTACACTGTGTATAACCTCCCGACCGCAATCCCTCCCCTCCTCCCCATGATAGGCCTCCGGTGTGTGATGTTCCCCTTCCCTTGAGTCCAAGTGATCTCGCTGTTCAGTTCCCTGCCTGCAGTGAGTGAGAACATGCGGTGTTTGGTTTTCTGTTCTTGTGGATATAGTTTGCTGGAGAATGATGGTTTCCAGCTGCATCCATGTCCCTACAAGGGACACAAACTCATCCTTTTTTTTATGGCTGCATAGTATTCCATGGTGTGTATATGCCACATTTTCTTAATCCAATCTGTCACTGATGGACATTTGGGTTGATTCCAAGTCTTTGCTATTAGAATAGTGCTGCAATAAACATGCTAATGCGGTGTACGTGTCTTTATAGCAGCATAATTTATAATCCTCGTATATACCCAGTAATGGGATGTTGTCATATGGTACAGCATCTAGTTCTAGATCCTTGAGGAATCGCCATTACTGTTTTCCATAATGGTTGAACTAGTTTACAATCCCACCAACAGTGTAAAAGTGTTCCTATTTCTCCACATCCCTCCAGCACCTGTTGTTTCCTGACTTTTTAATGATTTCCATTCTAACTGGTGTGAGATGGTATCTCATTGTGGTTTTGATTTGCATTTCTCTGATGGCCATGATGATGAGCATTTTTTCATGTGTCTGTTGGTTGTATGAATGTCTTCTTTTGAGAAATGTCTGTTCATATCCTTTGCCCACTTTTTTGATGGGTTGTTTGTTTTTTTCTTTGTAAATTTGTTTGAGCCCTTTGTAGGTTCTGGATATTAGCTCCTTTGTCAGATGAGAGTAGATTGCAAAAATTTTCTCCCATTCTGTAGGTTGCCTGTTCACTCTGATGGTAGTTTCTTTGCTGTGCAGAAGCTCTTTAGTTTGATGAGATCCCACTTGTCAATTTTGGCTTTGCTGCCGTAAGAGCTTTTGGTGTTTTAGACATGAAGTCTTTGCCCATGTCACTATGTCCTGAATGGTACTACTCTAGGTTTTCCCCTTCTAGGATTTTATGGTATTAGGTCTAACATTTAAGTCTCTAATCCATCTTGAATTCACTGTATAAGGAGTAAGGAAAGGATCCAGTTTCAGCTTTCTACTTATGGCTAGCCAATTTTCCCAGCACCATTTATAAAATAGGGAATCCTTTCCCCATTTCTTGTTTCTCTCAGGTTTGTCAAAGATCAGATGGCTGTAGATGTGTGGTATTATTTCTGAGGACTCTGTTCTATTCCATTGGTCTATATCTCTGTTTTGGTTCCAGTACCATGCTGTTTTGGTTACTGTAGCCTTGTAGTATAATTTGAAGTCAGTGGCTTTGATGCTCCAGCTTTGTTCTTTGACTTAGATTGTCTTGGAGATGTGGGCTCTTTTTTGGTTCCATATGAACTTTAAAGCAGTTTTTTCCAATTCTGTGAAGAAGCTCATTGGTAGCTTGATGGGGATGGCATTGAATCTATAAATTACCTTGGGCAGTATGGCCATTTTCACGATATTGATTCTTCCTATCCATGAGCATGGTATGTTCTTCCATTTGTTTGTGTCCTCTTTTATTTCACTGAGCAGTGGTTTGTAGTTCTCCTTGAAGAGGTCCTTTACATCCCTTGTAAGTTGGATTCCTAGGTATTTTATTCTCTTTGAAGCAATTGTGAACGTTGTGCACATGTACCCTACAACTTGAAGTTTAATAATAATAAATAAATTTAAAAAAAAAAAAAGTCAATGGAAAATCGATGTAAAAATTGTAATAGTTTTTGTACATGTATGTCTAAAATTATGATAAAAACAAATACAATTTTGCCATAAACAAAGGTTAGAGAGCAGAATAGTTTAGACCAGCGCTTCTTAAATAGTCTGTGTTGAAGGACTATTCTTTTCTAGCTACTCATGCCAATCTTTCTATGAAATAAAATAAAAATAGATTAGTCATCTTACATTTAAAAAAGACATACGCATCATATTTTATGATGTGCAAGAGATCTAAACTTACTCATCACATTTCTATAACAGATTACAAATATTTACTGCAAGGTTTATTTACTTAGTTCATCGTAAACACACACCACACACATCATGAAGCCACACAGGCCTCTCAAACCCAGGATCTCTGGTTTTATCTACGGGCAGGCTCATGTTCCTTTTCTGGATCTTACTAAGACTTGAAATAGGTACATAAAGTCTTTCTTCCTCCATTTTACCCGCTTTAAAATAAAAGCAAAAACTTTGTATAAGATTGCTGTGATATTGAATAAAGTAATTATTGTATTATAATAACAACTAACATATATGCTTGGCATCACATATGCTTGGCATATATTAAGCAGGCAAATGTCTGTTTGTAATTTTATGGTTAAATAAACTGTATCAATCAGAAGTAAAAAATTTAAAAAAATAAAAATAAAAAAATAAAAATAAAAATAAAAATAAAAAGGGAAGCAATTATGACAAAACTTGAGGAAGCAATTATGACAAAATTGACAAAACTTGTCAATTGTCTATAATTTTCCAGTATGTTTTTCTGTTTTCTAAAATTCCTCAAAAGGTAGATAACAGTATCCAACAGTTATATCTATAAAACTGTTATTGATTTAAAATAAATGATGCTGTTATTTTGAAGAACTTATTTAGGCAAATGTCATATGATGCCAATTTTACTTATTCTCTTCTTTATAAAGATATATTGCTTTTGAGATTTAATTATGTGTTTAAGATGTGTGCTCAACACTACCAGAATTTCTTTAAATTGATTCATTCTAGAATATTGACTGTCCGGTTTAAGATGGTTTGACCTACTGATTTTTTGACTTTGTGACAGTGTTAAGGCCATATGCATTCAGTGGAAAACACACTTCAGATACCCATACCACCATCTGTTTTTCAGTTTCAGTACAGCATTCAGTAAATTACATGAGATATTCAACATTTTGTCATAAAATAGCATTTGCATTAGATGATTTTGTCCAGCTGTCAGCTAATACAAGTGTTCCTAGCATGTTTCAGGTGGCTCGGCTAAGCTGTGATGCTGGATACATTAGGTGTATTAAATGCATTTTCAACTTTTTATGATGGCTGTATTGGAACATACCCCATTCTAAGTTGAGGAGCATCTGTACAATTAATGCAGCTTCCCTGTGAACTAAGCATATTTGTTCATTATAATTTTTTAAATCAATGTTACACGTTTTTCTGTGTGCTGGGCATGGCGCTGGATACCTGATCTCTCATAATCCTCACAACAAACCTATGTCATGGGTGTTTATTTCCTCATTTTACAAATGTGAAAACTAAGACCAAGGGAAGCTACCTGCCCAGAACCACATTCTTGGTAAGTAGCTGCGGCAGAGTTTAACTGAGGTGTCTCTTTCCCCAACACCTGGATATATGTATCTGCAGGTCTGTGTCTTTCCTTATAGTCACCTTTGCTGCATTCACCTTGTCCTAAAGTGAGTCATGGCAGCTTATAAAATCTTAAAATAGCAATATGACAGGATTGTTTAAAAACTAAAGTAATTTAAGTGGAGAAAAGGAAATGAGGTCAGGAATATAAGAAGTGCCCTGCTTTATCTGCGGTTATATAATGCACATTGATTTTTAATATGTACATTCATTTTTCTAGGCCTGGTTGCAGTATGCCTGAAATTTGGGATGTAGAAGATCCTGCCAATGCTGGGAAAACTCCCTTATGTAACCTCTTGGTGAAGGATTCCAAACCTCACTTCACCACTGTATTCCAGAACAGTGTTTACAAAGTCCTAGAAGTTGTAAAAGAATGACTTCTACATGAACTGCTGCCTATGGAGAACTACATCAGTAACGGTTTTAATGTTTTGCTAAGTCATGTGTTGTTCATATCCCAAAAACTTTTGTAGGTAACTGTTTTCAAATAGAAAAC